ATCGATGAATTATAGGAAGAATAGATTAGTTCTAGTGATGCTTCTTTGATGGTCAGTCAGGTCGTTGTTTAAGGAATCAAATTTTTTCTTTGTTTTCTGTGCGTTACAAATGCATTTTATTTCCATGTTTTTCATTCTTTTTTTTTTTTTGTACTTTTACGAGTTCTACTGTCTTTCTTTATTATCCAGCAGCTTTCTTCAGCAGTTTTAGTGTGTAATGTATGGAAAAATCGAAGGGGCATTAAATAAAAAGATTGCTGGGAAGTTCCAAGAGCTTCGACGAGAATGTATCGAGGAGGTAAATGATGAGTTCCGAGGTCTTACTTATAAGGTAAGCTTATGGCGGTCGGTTTCTTTATTTTCAACTTAATGATATAGTACTTCAGATGAAATTCATTTATGAATTGCTGCTTTGTTTAACTTTGCTTTAAAGGAAATAATTTGCCATATGACACTTCACTACTGAATTAGGGAAAGTGGGAGAAGTCCATCAAATCCTATTTTTCTTCACAGTATTTCGGAAATTGTTTCTGGGAACTTATAGCTGAAGCAGACTAGAAAGAACTTTGGTTTTTTTCACTATAGTTGAATCCTTGGGCGGGACTGTAAATGAAAGGCATACAAATTATTTTTTTAATCTAATTTTTTGAACACTATAAGTTTTTATGAGTAAAAGACCTGAGTATACAGTGAAAACTGAGGACTTAGGGGTTACTTTTCTTTGTGGGATTCTTCTCTTTTATTAGAAAGGATTCTTTATTCATTGTTTTACTGTTCATAATGGTTACCAGATTGAAACTTCCCAAGCGTCCGTTAGTGCAGTTAATTCTCTGACTGTAGTTGCCTGCCTTGTTCTTTCGCATATGTGTGAGATAGGTATTCATTATATATGTTACTCAGTTTTGATTTTCCTGTAGTATCGTTTTTTTTAGGTTTATGCTCAAATAAACCAAAAATACAGATTACTTTTTATTGCCGATTGACTGCTTTTCCCAAAAATTTTGCAGGTTATCAAAAGGATCAACCTTCACACTTTTTTGCTAGTGGTTTCTAAACAGTGGGAGGCTCAGATAGGACTTGCATGGTATTACCGGCTAGTGAGATGGTGTAAAAAACGCTTAGTTGAGAAATCATTTCCATTAAAAAAAATTTTTTTTTGACTATGGAAATGTTGCAGGAGATACTCAAATACGAGGCAAAAAAATTGGAGTTGATTTCGCGTCCCATAGTTACCTTATTGGGGAATCTTTCTAAAAGCAAAGAGCAGGTTATTGTTGCTGAAGAAGCTTTCAGGAGAGCTCAGGAGTCCCACAGAGTTGCTTTGTTAAAAACTTGTGATGAGCTGGACGGTATTATAAAAAAGTGCCTAGGTTAATGATCTACATTTGCTTTACATTCATCCTGAAAAATTTAGGTTTGAATTTTATTTGAATTTTAGAACTGAAATCTGCCTTAGCTGAAAGGAATATTAAAAATGACGGGAGGCTGGTAACTACGCCGGCTGGAGACGCAGATACTGGCGACCACTCAGTTCTGTATGTTTTCTTGAAATTTGTTTAGTATGTCGTACTACAACAATTAAACTAGAACATAAGACTTTCGAAGAGTAACATAGTGTAGGCTCGAGCTAAATTCACTTTGCTGCCGACACCGTACTCTGATGTGGTGGTAAACGGTAGGCACCGATGCGGCTAGTAACTCGTTGTTAGGTTGCATTATTTTTTACCTGCAATGCCAGTAAGTTTTATTAACTTAAAAAAGTGTATCTGAAGGCAGTGGAATAGCACGTGTTCGCCAAGCACTCTCTCGCAAGATAAACAAGTTTCTTTATTCGGATCACCTTTTCCCAGTCAGGAGTCGCGATATGCAGAAGACGTCTTATCTGTCAGGCCGTTGGTCTTCGATGAGTCTATCGTTGCTGGTTCTCCTGCTCCTAACTGCAAGTCGCCTCAAAACATTTTTTCTCTGAATCACGTCGAACCTAATCAAGTTGGTGTCTGTTTTCACTACTGTCTTTCTTCTTTGGTTTTTATAAAGTTCTTTGATTTTTTCAGAAGCAACGAGAAGTTATTGGTCATGACACACCATCTATAGCTTTGCCAGAAATGCCGCAGCTTTATTCTGCAACTTTACGGCGTCTTTTTGAAAATAGTACTTCGGAAAACCCAACGAAGAAACTAAATAAATGCATTAAAAGGTTAGGAAGTAGCTTGGATAGCACTGTGTTACTCTCTCATTGTAGCCGCACCGTTGGAGAAGCAGAGTAGAAGACGGAGTTAGAGAGGGCTAACACTTTCTGGGTTTACGGTGCAGGCTATGACAACAGAAAATTGGCTTTTCATCCTATATAAAGTGGGTAATTAGAAACAATTATTACCATTCACCCCAGAAGGTAATGACGTCGGTTACGTTAGGAAGCAAACCTTCAGTCACAAATCAGATGAACTCAGTAATATAATTTCCTAAACGATGTTTTGCAGTGCTTAGTTTTTATTTACTCATTTTGCATTTTCTCATCACTGGTATATGTGCAGATATCTGGATTTAGGAAATTGCGTTTTTTTTTTTCACTGTTGAACGAGCAAACCTTTCATTATATGGTCTGTATCTTACACTTTCGCGCAGCATTTGTCTTTCCTGGGGTTTTTAAAAATCATTTTAATTGAAACACTTATGAATTAAAAACCTATCTTCATAGTTACTACTATTGCTTCTTCTCTGTGTGAGGGGGCTAAAGTAAAGGGATGCAGTAGTTTGCTTATTGATTGCTCACCTCACAGCTCTGCTCCCCGTCAGTAATAGAGCCGTTAAGAGTAGCTGCTCTAAAAACTTTCGTGTTCTTTAAAATGACTTTTCGGCCAGCAGATCTGCAGTTTATCTTTCTTGATCATAACTTTTTTTTAGCATAAACTCATTTTCTAAGCTTGAGTACGACCGTTTAAAGCAGGACGTGCAGTCTTCGGTTGCTCCTGACCAATTAGATAAGGCTGTTAACATGCTGAACAATTATTTGTCTTCTGAAAAGCAGGGTACGCAGCGTTTTTTTCCGGTCTTGAAGTAATTTAGATCTTTTTAAAAACTCATTGTTAGTCCTCAGTGGTATTTTACACTGTGTATGAAAAAATTGTAATTTGCAATTACTTTCATGCTATACATTAACCAATTTTAAGCTAAGTTTCTGCATTTGAATATTAATGAGTGGAGGGCAAAAAATGCTTAAAAATTGTTCAAATTAATTTTAGGTGTGAGTCACTTATCGACCAGTGGTTTGATGGCGATTCTTTATCCAGATTTTACTTTGAAGCAATGTGATGCTCTTCACACTGCTCTTGCTTGTTCTGGACGACTGAACTGAGCCATTTCAAAGTACTGGACAACTTTTTTTGAAGAAGAAGGAAGTTGGTCACTTCTTGATTGCATCAATTTCAGTCTGTGAACTTCTTAAGGTCGCCAGGTAGTATACCTAATGCCGGTCGGATTGTTTGGTACGACCATTCTTTATGCCTTTGTTTTAGATAGTGTAAATATTGTGCTCGAGGATCTCGACATCCTTATTAATGTTTGGCAGTTTGTTATGGAGTTTTATTATAATGTTTCTTCAGTAAAACGTGTCTCGTACTTCAAAGCTTTAGCTGGTTCACTCGAACGCGCGCCATGTATGCGGTTACTTTGCATGAACATAAGCGCTGGCGAGAATGCAGCTTTAATTTTTAGACAAGAAGAAATTTGGTACATGTGCATTTTGGTGGCAAGTACCATCCACTCTTGGAGTCACCCATAGGGCAGGCCAAACAAGCGAAGCCATTCCAATGCAGCATGGCCTATTAGTGCAGCTCTGTTCCCCCCCCCTCCCCTCCCCACCGACGAGTAACTTGCTAAGCCTAGGCTCTTGCCTCTACCGCAGAAGCGGTGACCAACAGGCATTCCCGCATCTCCGCCTACATGGCTTATTGTTGGAAAACAAGGTAGGCCAACGCAGAGAGCAAAAACTTTTCAGTGTTTCCTTCGAAGAACATAATATGAAATGAAATGTATTTGACCAAGAAAGTTCGTATGCTTAGCACGCAGTGCAACTGCGTCTGCAGCGGCACGAAATCACCCGTACAAACAACCAAAGACAAATGTGCCTCCTTCTAATACTTCAAGGGATACTGTACCTTTGATTTGAGTATAAGACTAGGGAGGCGACATGACGATCGAGGGGACTAGCGTAAAACACGAGACATGACAATAAAGACGAGCGCACAGACAAACTATAAGTTACAATTAAGCACCTATAAAGTTAGTGTAACAGTGGAGCAAGGACGCAGTCAAAGATTGGGTTGGTGCAGACATCTACTTAAAGGATCTCTGGCACTTACCCTATCGGTTTCCAAGAAAAGACAAAATGCCAACGAAAGCCATACGAGTTTGAAAAATAAAAAGCAAATAAAAAAGCTGAGATTTAACAACCTTCTCCAATAAAATATCATCCGAAACCATATTAATTACAGACAGACACATTAGCAGCAAAGAACGGTATACAAAGTAAAATTGCAGGCACAGGAATTTGAGGAAAGAAAAGGTTTGATTGAAAGAACAAAAAGAAGGCATGCACTTACTACACTGAGCTCAAGTACCAGAAGTTTTGAATTTCAACTTGTTAGCAATAAAGAGATGGATGCGACTACGAAACGCAACTCGACATACCGATATCGAATGGGAAGAATACCGAAAATTAATTGTCAGCGTTATATGAACCTCTTCAAAAAAAAAAAATCCTTCCCACAAAATAAATGTTGCTCATACGCAGCCGACTAACAAAACACTCGCTATATACATGTTTCGCTCCCAAAAATGAGACTGGTAGAGAAAGCTGTAAAAGTAACAAATTACAATCCCCTATGGGTCGTGAGTCGGGACGTCATCATCGCTTTCCGTTACTAAAAGCTGCGCACCGTTCTGAATCTGTTCCTCATCACCACTAGGTCTTCGAACTCTACTCTCTAAATTGCACGTAAATTTTGAGACGTTTCAAACTAACACATCCGAACAAAAATAACAGCGAATTAAGAAGCCATTTCAATAACGAATTCCTAAACTTATCATAATAGACGGTATAGATGGAAATAAAGTTGCAAAAAACTTTATACTCAAGAAGTCTTAAGCAAAATATGACTCCCCCCATCCTTAGATACAGAAAATGGCCAGTCTAACCGTAACTAAGCCGCATTATGTGTGAACCATCGTTTTTTATTTTGCCGTGTTCAACCGCTTCCAAGTAATCAACTTCATCCACAAGGAGTGACCGCTCCCATGTACCAGACTCACTTCCACCGTTGACATTGCCGTTTGGAGCAGGTCCCACTATCTCAGCTGAAAAAAATCCAAGTAATCACCCCACTGGTGCACTTTATAAATTATTTATTTTTTAACCTGGAGAAGTCGCCCTAATAGCAACTGAAAAATGTCTCAGTAAAGTTTAAAAGGGAAATAAAGCCTCTTGAACAAGACTTATTACCCAATGAAACATCGGAAGCAACTTAACATTTGCGTTGGAGTATAATTTTTATCTAAACACCTGAAAACTGAATAGAACACCATTAACCATTCACAATTCCATCAAGATTCGGTCATTCAGTACTCTGTAAGTTGCACTAGTAACGCTGATAGACCTATAATTTCCAATACCAGTTTCTTCCCCGACTTATAACCACACGTAATTCTGCCTTTAAAATGACGGAACCCGTCACTGCCTTTGAAGCTAAAAATTTGTAAAAGAATAGCGGAAATGACGCTGTTAAGAATATAGGGTCAGTTAATAGCCTACTGCCCCATACTCAAGAAAGGTTCACTCCCAGTCCCAAATTTTCTACTGTTTCCATAATTGTAGATGGCAGGTCTTGCAAAAAATCAACTTTTTTTTTGAAAGTTTTTTTGCGAAGTTTTGCGAAATCTGAAAAAATTTTTTCAAAAGTGAAATGAAAAAACAGCTTTTTTTGTCGCAGTATCTGCATTCAAACGCAGTATTCTTCAAAGAAATTGTAATATACATAACGAGCAACAGGTCCTTAAAAACAAATTTTTAAGACTTCACTGAAGTAATGCACGCAGTAATTCCAAAAAGTTTCTTTCAACTTAATCAACTGCACAAAATAAACCTTAAATCAGCCAAAAAATCATATCTAATTAGTAATAAATCTTGGAAGAAAAATTTTCATAGTAAAATTTGTCCTCGTACGAAATTATCACATAGAAATAACTGCAATGTACTTTACAATGAAAATATAAGTAGATACAGCAAAAATAATTAATTATTTTATTCTCATTTGTTTCCAGCCCCATTTTCTAATTTTGACTTCACTCCTTCGCTTCCCACCAGTCTCACATTACTTGCGCAACAACAACTTCTGGTTCTAATTACACAGCTTACCCAAAAACTTATAAATCTGAGAAAAATTAGAAAAAGATTCAAACGGTCAAGTCAAACAAATCAATCCTTCTGCAATCTAAAGTCTCCCTCATGAACTTTAAAACATATATATACTCCAACAATAACAAGAATAAAAAGCCAATTTAAAGAGAGGAAAAACTATGGCAAAAAGTTAAGTTTTGACGCTACCATCCCCAAAAAATTTCTGGACTTTCGGAATTAATTCCAATATTGAATAAAGCATATACTGTCGCTATCGCAACACTTGCTCGAAGGTTTAATATAGTTACTCCTACCCTCAGCACTTAAGTACAGAAATTTTATAAAGAATTACAAACAAAATACTTCCCCCTCCCCCTTCTCCACTTAATAACTTAGTAACAATCACTACCCTAAAAAAACTACATTTACTTGTTTTCAAAAATTCAAGATTATTCTATTTTATCTTGCCCAAGAAAACAGTGGTGCTAAGTAAGAAAAGAGTACTAACTGCTATACCGAACGTTAGGGACAAGAGACTTAACAGAATGATCATTCCCGTCTTCTATCTCGTGTAACATTCGTTGTAGTTGCTCCCAATTTATGGTATGCTCCATTTTACAAGAAAACCTACCAACTTTTGTGGCAACAAAGGTGAGGCAAAAAGTTCATATGCCTGTAATTTACAAGCAAATAAATAGCTAGTGGAATTTGGGCGTTACTAAGTCAGAGGAATACTCAGCTGCGTACTGATATTGTAATTCCACTACGGTTTCAATGTTAAGTTTGGAATTTCTAATTATTTCACACTGGAACGATTTCCAACGTCGTTTCAACAATGACACGACATTGCTGATAAGTCAAGAACCCCTTGTAACAATCACCATTCCGTGACTGGCCTACTTTTTAACATTTTTCTTCACAAAAAAAAACTGACGAGATCTTCTTCAAATAAATAAAGTTTACCGTACTAAAAATACAATTAAAAATCTCCGGAATTTTCGCTAAGTCTTCTTTTTCTTCTATTATATTACTATTAGACTGTGGAATACAGCTGCTGAATAGCTTAACAGGAAAAGGAATGACAAAAATTGTAACCTTCGTGAGATGTAGCCGAAACAGACACTCCAGAATCCCCTCTTCCATGCTCTGCTGCGCGAACCAAATCAACCTCATCAACAAGAACCTGATTCCAATTAAAGCTGTTATTCCTTACATTATTACCTTCGAAGTCATCCATAACAGATGGAATAGGAAAATTTGGTGGCCCTAAAAACTAATTGTTAAACGATATATCAAAAGAGTCAATTGTTTTCAATGTTGCTGTCATAAAAAAAAGCGCCACATACAATGATTTTGAAGTAGTCATATGTCAAAAAAAGGATTTCAAGAAATAAAAAATAGAAACAAAAGGGCATCCTGCTGTATCGCGAAACAAAAGCTTCAGAAAACCAGAACAACATTACTTTGGGCGTTATGAGCCTGACCTCGATCCTCACCAAAACGTCCAGCATATTTATTTAGAGCATCCACTTCATCAACAATAATATCCCCACGGCTAACCGCTTCTGCCATGTCAATTAAGGGCATTCTGCTGCAAAAATAAAAATAAATATACAGAGAATTAATTACAAAAGACTTTACGCTACAAACTAAGGTCAACAGTTAAAAAGGTTTCTTGTAAAATAAAATCATCGACACAAAGAAAGATAAAAATGATAAACAATTCAAAGAATTTAAAATAGAAAAATTTTTTTTTGGAAAAAAAGCCAGCAAAAGTATAAAAACAGAAAAAGAAATGAAGCGATTAAATAACGAGAAAGAAAGGAACAAGGACAAGTCAAAAACTGATTTCTACCAAAACATAGTGTTTTTTCAGCACTTATATCTGTTCCTGTTTGCTCCTAATTAAATGTTCATACTTTTCAGAACAAAAAAAAGTCAAGAGCAATACAAGTGATAAAAAGAAGCGTAAACTGTAAAAATTTACAACAGTAAAAAAAGTGCAATAAAAATTTAAAATCATAATTAAACATCCCCAGACAACAAGAAAAAAAATAAAGAAAGAAAGAAAATAAAAAAGGAGGAAGCTATGCTAGACAACAATCGCAAACAAATCCAGTACCGGACCTGAACAGAAATAAGCCATGATCTCGAACGTTGTAACAGATAAACACTGCCGAGAACAACAGGCAGCAACTTGTTGCCGCCGCTGTTCTGCCAAATTTTTCACCATTTTCAAACTTCCCAAATTGTTTGGAATTATTAACAGCGCAATATTTAATAAATGACATACTTTTTAAATGTTTACTGTTTACAAACCACAATCGGTTGCGTGGTTTTTAATGGATGGCGCTGGTTTTTTAAATCAGCTAGTTCGGAGGAGTTTCTAAATTTGATGTTTTTGAGGAACAGAAAAATGCTGGTGAATTTCCTTTCCTTTGAATTGGGTCGGGTTTTGTCATCGTTTAACTTCTCGTTTGTACGGTGCCGTTGTTGTGTTGGAAGTGTATATCTGTACACAAATTACAGTGATCGCGTTGGCCATCTGTTCGTGTTCAAAACTTATTTGACTCAGTCTGGTCTTAAGCTTAGCACTGCTTCTATATAACTCTATCAACCCAGAACTATTTTAATATGTATCTAGTGTATATTCATTAGATAATTTCTGGTTAAAATACCTTTAATATGTAATTTAATCGGTCTTGTATTTCGTCATTTGACTTTGATTCGTCCTCAAAAACCACCTTTTGGAAATCAACCGTTTGTTAAAACTACTCTTTTGAAACTCACATTTTGCTGGCAAGCAGGTTTCTCAACAACTTTTTTCATCTTACAATCTAATTATAGGTTTCAGCTCATCAGAATATTAGTAAGCACTACGTAATCTATCAGTGCTGAGAATCAGGTAAATTTCTGAGATGCTTTTCTCTTTGGTAATGGTTTCATTACTCAGATCCATTCACCTGTATTAGTTCTAAAAAACGTATCTTTTTCTAAGAACTGTTTTTCATTTACAAGACAAAACAGATAACTTTTTAAACAGCATTTAGTTTTTTGCTAACATTAAAAAGTAGTCTCATTTCAGCAGTTTTAGGCAGCCGTTTTTGAAGTCGAAAAGTTGTGGTTTTTTTTATTACAAAAAGTTACATCATATTTTTACTTTACAACGTTTTGTCATTGCTTTAAAATGAGGATGTCGCCTGGTTAATTGGTCGCTTATTTGAACGGGAAGAAAGGTTTATTTTTGCTGTTGGCTTCGGAAGAAGTATATAGCTAAAGTCGGTATGCAAACAGTCAAATTCAGTATTAGGGGCAATCTGAATCCACACCTTTTTTCGTCTTTCAAGTTTTTGAAAGTTTTCAATGTCATATTTTTTGTTCTTTAATACTTTATTTTCCTACTAAATATGTGTGTATTTGGGAGATATATACATGTTCTCCTCAAAAACGATCAGTAGTGTATGCAAGACTTTAAGTGTAATTTAGCGAAAAATAGCAATAATAGACGACTACGAGGAAGGAAGATTACGATAGAAATTAGTGTTGAAAGTTTCAAGAAGCTGAAGGAGGAAGATTCGAAGGTTCAAAATAATTTCTTTTACATACAGTTTTAGAATCGATACACTTAAGTTGGTAGATAAATTGAAGTCGAATAACAATTTATTGTTAACTTGTATGCTACTATATTTCGTTTTTTGTTCCACTAGTCTATGCAGATAAGTGGTCATGTGTTGCAGTCATTAATTAACTGAAACAAATAATAAGCAGCGGGACAACATGAAACCATTAAGTTTTGCATTTGTCAAAACTTTCAAGTGAAGCTATTTTTAAAATAAACTCTGAAGACTTGTTAGTCAAGTCGGGAAAGAAAGAAATATTGCTGTTTCGTAACGTTTTGAAAAAATTAATTTGAACTACATTAGAAATTTTTTCAAAAGATTTATGTTATTTTCTTTTGCCATTTGAAAAACTTGTAGAACTGATAATTTATTGTTGGTTTTTAGCTATTTAATCCGTCTTTCGAAGAACTTATGTGGAGTTCTGCTACCGGAGGTTTTATGCGCTGAATGTTTGCCTAGAAAACGCATTGCTTTAAGCATTTTGAATTCGATACACTGTGAATTGAAGTATATTTTTATATCATTAACAGTAAATTTTACCTGCATTTCAACTGCTTATATACGGCAACACAATCACGATGAATTTAGTTGTTACAAATTATTGAAGAAGTAACTTTCCTTGCTGACTAAACCAGCGTAAATTTAAATAAAAAAATATTGACAGAAATTTGTTGAAATTGAGGTGACCTGGGCTTTACATAGAAACTCACTTCCTGTCTCAGAATATCCATTGATGAGTCTGAGCAGACGTCTCAAAAAAAGAACCTAACTAAGCAACTTTGGTGTCAGTACCACTAAAAACTTATAGATTTGAACAGTAGAAGTACTGTCAATAAAAGTATTGCTTTAGAACAATTGTATAAACGAACATCAGTTCTGCAACGTCGACATTTTCAAAATACCGAAGCATATGACTTAAAAACTTTATATTAGATTCGCACATGTGTTATCAAAGGTCATTTGTAAAAGAATGTTCACACTCAGCGTTTTTGAAAAGTTACTGAAAGAGTGCTGTTGTGTATACGATACGTTGAATCTTTGAAGAACAAAGTCTACGGTTCACTTGATGTGACCCAATTTCTTGTTACTTCTCAAGCAGAATCAACAGTCATTTTATGGTTTGAAAATCTACCTTGGAGTAGTTACGTTGTTTGGGAGAGTAATATGCTAATCATTGTGTAATTTTATTTGAAATCCAGTTAAAGTCTGTAAAGTTTACTTGTCTTCTTTTTCTGCGCACTGTTTTTGCCAAGAAGTGGATTGATTCTTGGCGATTCAGGAACAACGTGTTGCAGTTTAACTGGGTGTGAAACCGTCAAAGTTAATAAAAGCATTTGCGATATCTCTGACTTACAAGCCATTCTCAACTAAAATACCAACCACATTCAAAAAAATATTTTTCTCAAACGTTTTAAGTAATATTTTCTGTTTTTATTTTACGAGTTGCAATCTGTGAAACAGCGTAAATATCTGTCTAACCTCACCATTATTGTGATTACCATATGGTCCTTTAGAACTGAGAACATTACTTTCTACTTTTGCCATTTAGCACTTCTTTAAAATTGGTTTTTAGATGAGACGTCCATCCTTCTTCGAAGCTCGTTTAACGATCTTGGGTACTTCATGGCGTATTTTCAGACTGTCAGCCACATTATTTGAAAGTTAAAACTTAACATTAAGTCATCTCTAAGGTAGTTTTTAAGAAGAATTCTTTTGAGTGTTTTTTTCTTTTTTGATGTTAAAATGAACGGTCTTTGCTGTCTTATAACACTGAAGCCCAGCTATTATTTTGTAGTACCGTACTTCTACGTATATTTCTTCTTCAGCACCGACAATGGTTATGCTAGACTTTGAACCGTTTCACCAGTAGAAAAGTACTGCATGCGTTTTTAGAAGTGAGATTTTCAGTAGTTTTTTAGAATTTCAAAATATGCTCCTTGAAATCATCTACTTTAAAATGTATTTGAGAAGTTGAGAAGGATCACGTCATTAAAGAGTGGTAACTCATTTTTCCAGAACTAGAGAAATTTTCTTATGTTTTGTTGTATCAGAAGCTGGTTTCATGCTGCTAGTTGAGTTAGGTAAAATGAAAAATCATTTTTGTTCATGTTTCTTCTTTGATTTGTTTCTGTTAGACGGTCTTGATCAGTTTCACTTTCACTGGTTGCAAGAACTGATTCACTAATTAATTGCTTAACTATTTAAGCTATAAACTATTACCTCTCAGTTTCCAGTTGTGCAGCATACTTCATGTTAAGTTTTAAGGTGTGCAAACGGTTACAGAAGGCCATTAAGTCATTTGCAACTGAAAATGTCGAGAGAGTAAAAATCTGCATTTACAGAACAGCATCCTTTCTTATATTTAATTCTTAACATGTGAAACTGCAATTGATATTCGTTAGACAACTGAAAATGATAAATGCTTTAAAAAAATAACAGCCGGATTTCTCCAATGCGAAACTTATCAAAGTTAGCCAAAAACTTTTGACTACTTACGGATAAAGTGTCTATCATTAAAACATTAAGAAGTTTTAATTCATGCTGCTACATGTGTATATTAAACAACTGTATACTGTAATTTATACTTCCGGAAACTCAACAGCCTTTAACGTCTTCAAAATTATCTAGTCGTGATCCGTCTATTACACCAACGATATTTGGGCTTTGAAAGTTACATCTCGGGGAGACCTAGAAGACTCTTTTGGAAGTTGATCGAAAGTGGGTGTATCTGCTAATGAGCACCGTGGGAACGAAGGCTACAGCAGGGCAGAGTGCCGCCCTCCGCTCTTCTAACGTGAACTGGTCACAGGTTTGTGTGGCTCTCTCGGAGCGCTATTTTCCCAGATATAAAGCGGCAGTTTATGCCAAGCACAGGTCTGTTCAAGCTAAAAAGGAAACAGTACAGCAAACACAAGGTAGATGGAAACCGAGAAGCCACGTTGATCTGGTTGATGCCAAAAAAAA